AGGTCATAATTGCCCATTTTGAATGTGGTACACCACAGTCTCCTCTGATGCCTTTCTCTCCCTCTGAGTAACTCCAGCCCTGGATTTTTCAAAACAACAAATCTTGGTTCCTTGAAGGACAGCTTTTGAGAAATGGGGCAATGTGCATCCAAAACAGAGCAATGGGAACCAAGAGACTTGGTGTTTAAACAATAATTCTGCCATTATCCTCAGGAAAGGGCCCTTTGCTTCACATATCCTTATTTTCTCCAGCTCTCTCAAAATCTGAATTGACGAAAAGCAGCTGAGAGTCCTAGCCACCACAGCAGATTTTCATCACTCTCCAAGATTCAGCACAATGTAAAGAAATTACTTTTTTTTTTTTTTTTTTCCCCAGCTTCAGGCAGTTTGAAGCTTGAATACAAAATAAAATGCAGCAAGTCTAACACAGGGAAAGGAAATCCATATTTGTATGTCTTCACCATTTCTAATTAGTTTTGTAATATTTATACAATACCTAAAATGCATTGACAGATCCCTTTCTGTAGATATAAACAACAGATAAGAAAAAACACATTCATATTGAACAGAAATGTTCCCTTCTAGACATGTGGCTGATGGAAAACTGAGGATTCATTTTAAATCATAGATTTGCTGGTCACTTGTCGCTCAGGGGCACACTACCAAACCTACATGTGGAAAAGACAGAGCTTGAGAACCCATACATTTCTCACAGAATTATTTTCCTTTTAAAAAAACAGAAACAACAACAAATAAACAAACTCTCCCAGTAAAATTCTCGAAAGAAGCACTGTATCTTCTGGTCAACTGGTTTTATGTTCAATTAATAGCTCTAGAGCACAAAATTATTAGGTTGCTAATCCAAGTCCTTCATAGAAGAGCAGAATTTGTGCTAACATGTGTTCACTTGCACATACAGTTTTAATGCTAATATAAGAATCAATATTTTCAGCCTAGGTAAGTCTGTGTGTGTGCACCACAGCAGAGCAAGCAGCGTGGTTATGCTGCCATCAAGTGGACACACATTGCTGAATAGTAAATATCTTTCTGGAGCAGTATTTCAGGGCTGTACTCAAAATTTTGGAGTTTTTTTTAACACCATGCTGAAAAATGACTGCATTCTCCAGCTGGTAAATTATTCATATGCAAATTATTGGGACAGATTTTACAGTAAACTCTCCCAGGTTCTCTGGCAACCTTCAGTCGCCATAATAACATGGGAAAAATCTGTTTGTGCACTCTTTAGATATATGACTATGTCCTATTTAAAATCCCAGATTATATCAGATGTGTGGAAGCCCCAGGGATAAAAAAGGGATTTGGGGTCCTTTCAAATTGACAGTGAGAATGGGGCTTTAAGGAGTGCCCTTGTGATGGCACAAGAAAGATTCTTCACTCCCTACAAGCTGATAGAAAACCATTAAAAAATGCAGAAAAGCTGCTGGCAAAAAGTTAATTTATGGTCCAAAAGTTAATTCTAGTGAGCATGCTCTACTTCATACAATCTTTGACTTCTTCACAGCATTTTCTTCTGGCATTCTGCAGCAAAATTTATCAAAGCTTCTGTCTTTACAGCCAATTCCCACTGAACAAAAAAAAAAAAATGCATCTCACTGAAACATTTTATCTTCTTAGCCTGAAAATGTTGCTTAAATCACTGTTCCAATTTTCCAGAACAAACGAATTCTATACATTTACAATATTTATTTCTCAGATTAAGATAAACTAAATATATTTTAATTTTTTAAAAGGAAGGAATCTAATTTTTACCTCCATTCACAAAGCTACTTTCTATATATAACAGTGAAATATGAAGTATGTTTTCTAGTGCTTTTTATACCAGTGCTCTTCCTAAAAAAAGACAGTAAAACATTTAGAAGTGGAGCTAGGGACAATACTCCCCTCTAGGGGCAGAAACAGAATCTGCAGCGTTCCATTCCGGAGCGTTTTGTTTGTAGACCACATTAGTGAAATAAAACTAATAGGTCCTCCCCAGTGAAAGACAACCAGAATTATTAAGTCGTTCCCCACAGAGAACACTGCTGTCTGTGAAATCTGTCCACGTTGTGTTCCTATATTCTCACAGAAGGGTTTTAATGCCACACATATACAGAAGCCATCTATCAGATTTCCCTAGCAACACACATCCCATCAGCTTCTGACCCAGACAACGTATCATCAAATGCAATATGCGAGGTGTACCTTTTTCTTCATAAGTAAACACGTGTGTCATGGAAATGTATGTTCTAACAAGTGCTAAAGCTGGGAGTTTGCTCAGCTGATCATACTTGGTAGATTTGGAAGTGAAATAGGATGGAAGGTCAGCATTGGCTCGGCTGCTTTCCTCCCTTTCATTCAGGCAGCCAGATGCAAGGTTGCAAAAGCAATTCAGGCATCCCTGTCAATGACAGAGGGTCCAATCCTCCCCACACAGAATACTCCTACGTACAGTCTGGGAAGCTCGCAATTCCTCCTTGGAAACGAGGAGAATGCAGAGCTAACAGAGGGTTGTCTACACATCCCCAGATCCTGAGAACTGAGTAAGCCTGATGGGAGCTACAGGAACTGGGGCTCGAGCCTCAGCTGAAACTCAGTACTTCACAACGCACTACCACTGAGACAAGCAGCTCCCCCACAGAAAAGCCCAGTGCTGCCTTTCTTCCCAAGGAAAGCCATCATAGGTAACTCTGTTAGCTGTCACCTTTGTTAGGACACTCAGGGAAGCTGAAGGGGCTGGCTGCTTGTCACAGTCCCCTCTGAACACGCTGGGATGGGATCCTCAAGCCACCCTGCGGCACAGAATGGCTCTGCTTCTAAAGGAGCACAGCTCCATGCATGTTACAAAAGCAGGCTCCTGACTCATATCTAAACAGAAGGGAATAGACACTTTAAAGTTATTATTTGTAATAGTGGAAAGCAATCTGATTTCTTACCAGAAAGCACTCTATTTCTTATCATATACTGTGCTTAGTAGAAATTTTATTTCCACAGACAATATTCTAATAAAAAAAAGTTATGTTGTGTGTTTTTTTAGGTTAAAAAAGCATTCTGTTCTTTCTGTAGTCTACAAAATCAATCCCAAAAAAAATCAGGGAAAAAAGGAGCTGAGTGGGATGAAAGTCTTTGTCACATCCATATTTTTCCCCAGCTGCATATGCTGAGCTTCAGAACGGTACCTGTGGCACCTGGCAATAGTGTGCCATTTTCACCAGAGAGACACCTTCACAGAGCAACTCAGATTCATTCAGTGATGAGCTCACCTAGATCTAGTTCCCCCAGGTCTCACTCTGCTAGCTGTGGTGGCTTACCTCCTCACCCAATGAATCAGGGCTTCACTGCATTTGTTTAACACAGCAAAAAACAGTGCTTGCATGGAAATTGTGAGATCTGCCCCACAATGTAATGTTTTGCTCCAGGATGAATGTGACTCTGATCTGGACTTCACTTAAACAAGTAATTTTCACAAATAATTGGGAATTGCCACTGCTGCAATCTCTGGAGTGGCACTTACGTAGTCCATACAGCAGTGAGACTGGTTTTAAGGCTGGCATTGCTAACTTTTTTGGTGAAGTTTCTCTGATAGCTATTTGGACTTTTAAGTGTGTCCATGCATCCTCACGTTTTTTGGTTTGTTATTGCAGTGATCACCAATTTGGGGCTAGCAAGAACAGCAACACACATAGTAGAAAATTAGGATGGTTTTTCCTTCTTTTAAACCTGATTTCCATCATGTCTAAATCATTTTAGTGCCAATGCAGTTATAACTGGGATAGTCTAAAGCTGTAAGGAAATATTTAAGGATACCCTGTATCTCCTTTTCCTTCCAGGAGAAAGGATTTGAGACTAGGCTCAAAAAAATCAAGTATGTCTGAAACACCTGAAACAAAACCTGGGAAACTCCAGGTCCCTGTGCAGAGAAGCATAACCCTCTTGAGCCTCAGTAAGCCTTAACCACTAGGCCTGTGAGTGAGCTTGGGACTCGCCCTCCCAGCGTGCAGGACTGCTGTGGCCCCACAGCATGACACAGCACCAGAATTCGGCTTCCCATACATGGCTGGGGCTGCCTGCTGAAAACTGAGTCATCTCAGTGCCCAACTTCAGGCTCCTGAGCACTTTGCTGTGTCTTGGGCATCACTCTGGGCATGTTTATGCGAAGTTCAGCATAACCCTTTGTTGCTTGGTAGGTTTTTCCTTTTATTCCCTTTTTCAAGTTGTCCAAATGACTATGGTCTTGGAGAAAACCCTGTTGAAGATACACAGCAGTCTTAATTACTACAGGCTAATTACCTTTAATGAGCAAATTGCCATACACTGATGTGGGATTTGTCCTGAAAATAATTTCAGACACCTAAAATCCTTGACATTATATCTTCTATCTACATTATGCAATGATGATTCTTGCCAGTATACTCAAATGAGAGGAGGAGCACAACTCTGAAGATCTGAGACACCCATTTGCTTCTCTGTAATATAATGTACCAGCCCTGTTTGTAGGACTGTACTTGCTAAAGCAGCTTCACAGTGCTGCTAGCTTATGTCATTTATCCCTATGATCATTTGTCTTTTAGCCCTATTAGTCAAATTAATAATAAAAAAAAATGTAACAAAAGCTCCAAGGGTTCAAGATGTACTGCCCCAGAACAAAGTCTCAGTTTCTGGTCTTGGATACTGTTCTCCTGCAGTCTGCACTACAGCTGCACACACAAACAGTAAGAGAGAATAGATAACCATAAAAAAGCTGAACTGAATCATCAAATCTGTTGAGAATATGCTTTCCATTTAATCAAAAGAAATAGTTAAGTACTAGCACTATTCAGAAGCTACAAATTAATTTGTACTTGAAGGCTATAATTACATTTTCCATTTTTCTTGATATTCACACAAATATGTGTGAAAGATTGGTTCTCTGGCTCTACTAGGAGTGGAGAAAGTGATTCTCCCCACAAGTAATTGTAGCTATCTGGGAATCAGAATCAGAAAAAGTCAACCCTGGCTATTACCTCATGGTATACAGCAGAGTGCCATCGTCCTCCAGGCGCAGGAGTTTGTTTGGGGTTGTCATGTTGTGAGCAATAGACTTCTTGCCATTGTGGAAAAAAGTGTCTGGGGTCCAAATCTTGCTGGCGAGCAAGTTGTTAAGAGGGAGGCGTTGCATAGGTCCTTTGAATCGCAGCCTTTCATCCTTCCAGCTTTGTCGGAAAAAAACGTCAATGGTGTATTCCTGGCACAAAGAAACACTCGAGGTATTGCAGGATCTGAACAGAAATGATGGTACCAAAAATGACTTTAGCAAATTCAACTGAGTTGGTAGCCACATGCTAACTTACCATTTCTGTGTCTGACACGGGACCAAAACTGGTAACATAGATGTCTGTTTTCACCTGAGTTATTCTCTCTGTAATAAACATAGGCTCTGCTTTAGTAATTGCTTAAAATGCAAATACCTACTGGCAATGCTTTTTACTATTAATTCCTGAATCACTCAAAAATCCCCAAAAGATTGAAATTTAAGTGCATGCTTGAGGAGGCATTTCATCCTGGATCAAATGCAGCTGTTGACCCTTGGGAGTCCAGGCTTTGCTCTTACAGACAGAAGGAAACCAGCCCTTTGAGCGTGCATTTCCTCTGACTGACAGGTTCTGATCATAGAAACACAGAATTAAGGGACTGTAAAGATCATCTAGTTTCAAACCCCTGCCATGGGCAGGGACACCCTTGATTAAATCAGGTTGCTCAGAGCGCCATCCAACCTGGCCTTGACCACTTCTAGGAATGGTCAAGCTTCTCTGGGAAACCTGTTCTAGTGCCTCACCACCCTCAAGGTAAAGAATTTCTTCCTAATACCTAATCTAAATCTATCCTCTTCCAGTTTAACCCCTCATCCTATCACTGCATTCCCTGATAAAGGGTCCCTCCTCATCTTTCCTCTAAGAACCTTTAGGCAATGGAAGGTTTCTATAAGATCTCCCCAGAGCTTTCTCTTCTCCAGGCTGAAGAACCCCAACTCTCTCAGCATGTCTTCACAGGAGAGGAAGTTCAGTCTTCTCATCATCTAGTAGCCTCCTCTGGACACGCTCCAACAGGCTCATGTCCTTCCTATGCTGGGATTCCAGTACTCACAAAAGCAGAGGGGAAGAATCTCCTCCCTCAACTTGCTGGCCACCCTTCTTTTGACGCATCCCAGGATGCGATTGGCTTTCTGGGCTGTCAGGGCACGTTGCCAGCACTTACGTAATACCTACCACAGGATGAGATGAAGTGTATCTTGGAAGGACCTACTCCCCTCTGCTGGCTTGGGTGATCTGCCTGATTTCAGACATCTATCAGAGACGTCCGGAGTTAGGTCAAATTATTTCTACCCTCAAGTCTCTAAGTCCTTCTGGCATCTTTTCAAATCCAGGTCTAATTTAATTTAAGGACAGAAATTTCAGAAGTTCGTTATATAAGATAAAAAGCATCGAGCCCTATTTTCAAGCGTCTCTCTGTAAAGTGAGAGGAGAAGGAGAGAAAGGGATGAAAGCAATGTGTTGGTCTCACAAGAGGAAGGGGTGGGGGTAGCCAGATTAAAAAAGGGCCAGGAAGAAACATAACAGATGGTTTACACATGGGTATAAAATGAGAGAAATCTGGGGGAAAGAGAGCTGAAGGAGGGCTCAACAAGGTTAGGATGGCAACCACTATTCACATGCTACAGTTTTAAAATAGCTGCTGTAGAGGTTATCAAAAAGACATATCAATACAGATTTCCTGTACTTGTCTAAATATGGATGGTCTGGGGATCTGTTTTTAAAAAAAGATGTGCTTTACCAACGTAATTTTATACAGGCTGACCAGTAAGGGAATCTCACAGCAACCGACTAGCATAATGTCTTGCTCAGCTTAGGAAGTACCAGAAAAAAAACCCCAAACTGTACTCCATTACAGAAAAAAATGTATCACAGATGCTCTCCTAAGCCAACCTCAGATAACCTGAGTGACTGAAAGAACACAACTTTCAGTAATCCTTTTCTCGTGCCCCATTTGCTAGGAGACAAATCTGCTTTCTGGACTTAGATTAGTTAATCAAACACAAGTCCCTTGTCACGGCCAAGAGCAGGTACCCACTTGGGAGGGCACCACGTAGATGATGGTCCCATCCAGCGGGGGGCTGGCTGAGCCAAGGTGTTATCCTACCTCCCAGTCCTGGGCGCAGTCTGTTGTCGTAGCCGTCCAGCAGACCGTCCAAGATCCTGGTGAATATCGTGATGTTATCATTGGCCTCCTCTTTTACTGATGGTGTTGGCGTTTGTGAAAAGCTGTTTTATACAAACAAAAGGAAACATGTCAAAAGCCATGCTGGTTTCAAGGGGCTTCAGTCTCACGGGAACTTTGTGATGGAGTCTCCAAGGCTCTGTCCTCTCCTGCTGCTCCTGAATAGCACAGGGAGCTGCAGCCATTAATTTCCTCATTACTTTAAACTCGTAAATAACTCTCCCTGGAGGAGGACCCAAATAAGGACCATGCTGTGCAGGTAAAGCCCTGGGGTGCAGGATTGGGGGACACCTGAGCCCTTTGATCTCTGGAATGCACAGGTAGATCCCTGCGCCCTACACTACCCCTCCCCACATCGGCCCCGTCACCTCCCCAGTGCTGGCATGGCTCCATCCGTGGCCAGTCAGCTCACAGCACTGGTAAAAACTGTCACTGGCTTTCCCCAGGTTAGCTCTCCATTCCTTGGGAACTACATCAGCTGGCTGGGGAGCTGCACGAGCAGAGGTTTGCCTGGGGATCTGCCTTCAAGTATGCCTGAAGGTGCTGTTCGATCTTTAAATGCCAAACAGCTTCCAATTTTCAAAGTTTCTGTAATTTATTGCCAGAACAAAGGATGAACTGTAACCTTATTTGAGGATAACAAACTCCCACTACATTCAAAAATCCCACTGGGGTATCACTGGGGTATCTGAAAAACATACTGCTGTACAGAAAACACAGTTCTTCACTCCTCCTCTCTCTTTTGCATAAATTAGTTCTCCCTTGTAGTATGCAAATAACAGCAATGTGTAGTGGGCCTCATTCCATATCTTTTGGGCCAGATTTGTATTTATTCCGAACTCTTTTTTATTTCATCATTTTATCCATGGCTCAGACCTAGGAAGCTGCTCACAGCACAACTAACAACTCACATTATAAAATCTGTTTGATTTTCATTTAAAGATGCTTAGGAGAATCCCCTGCTTATTAATGCCTTTGCTTACCTAAAGAATAGACATGGCAGATTATCCATATGAACGCTTCACCTGCAGCAAGCAACGAGCATCTCTTAAGACAGCTCACACTAGGCGCTTATTCATGATTCAGCCTCTGCTGAGATCACCAGCAAATGCTCCAGCTGTGACAGGGCACATCACCCCACCAGGAACTGTACCCTGCCTCGTGCACCCTGCCAGCAGGCAGGAACAGCTTACACTCAGTAACCTGAACTCGATGGGAGACAGTCATCCAGACATTTAAATAAATAAATAAATAAATAAAAAGAATCCATGTTTATTTACTACTAGTCCCCAGGGAAATAAATCAGTAAATAAATAGAGAAGCTCAGAATATCTCTCTGAACAGCTTTCCTTGCAGAATGCTTGTAACATATGTGTTTGCCTTACCTAATGGAATAGGATTCATACAAAGAAAGACAAAGGGACCTCAACCTGGTTTTACCTGCATAAGGTTTCCACTAATGAGACCTCACTGACACCCCTGTAATGCATCTGGAAGTTTTAGTGACGCCAGACCTAGCCCAGAACAAGCTGCTCTCAGCCATGTGTCCCCTCACAGACCTGGGGACCCCCAGTCCTGCGCTCATTCCCTTTACCGTTTATGCTTCTGCTGAAAAGAAAAAGAGCGCAAAGCATCTCAGGACATGGGAGTACGGTTGTGTCCAGGGAGCACAGGTGTGATTCCCTGAAGCACTGAAGCCCATGAAAATGCCTGGTTGAGGAGGTTTCTTATGACCTAAGTGCAGCTGGCACTGCTGCAACCCTCAGCAAGCTCCATGCTGCAGAGCCCAAGGCCACCAAGGAGCTCCCTCGCTGCAGGTGGAGGCATAGCCACAAATCTTGTCTATTTTTCATCTTCATGGTCAAAAGACCAAATTAATTCTGTTTTCTATGCTGTGACCACAACCTCTAGTGAGCAACTGAGACAGACAAGAAAGACAGTTAATTCAGCAGATGCAAACTGCCTACAGAAACATAAGACATGTTTTCAGGCTGGACCATTCCAGAAAGAAAGACTGTACACTTCTTTTTCAATTGTAATTGAAGGGATTCACCATTTAGAAGTGAATATTCACAAGTAGCAGCTTAACAAATGCAAACAGGAGACAGAACTTAGAGACTTCCTTTAAATGCAGCAACCACAACTAATGCTTTGATAAAATCCTAGCATAAAGCATGAAAATCCAGTACACCTAGAATACTATTTTTGACTTTTCTTATCTATTTTATCTTTTCTTTTTCATAAGAAAGAGATATGCATCATGCTGTCTGCCTGCTACACCGCATCAACGTAGGAACCCATTTTCATTTTCCACTGCATCTGACAAAGAAGCAAAGAGATCAAACTTCATTTCATTCCTACAAGTTTCATGAGAAGCTTCGACTAGACAAGGGGAGAGCACTCTGAATTAGTGCCTCATTAAGTAAAAAATGTGGGGTTAGCAGTCATCTATTCCCTCTGGCTCACTGACTGGGCCACTCAATATGCATGTAGCTCAGAAACAGCCTCAGCAAGACCAGCCCCCCTCCTCTCTGACAATTAAGAGATATGGAGGAGACTTCCAGGTCATTATGAAAGGTCTTGGGAGAAAAGGACAGTAGAGGTAAAATGTAGGTGTTGCAATGGGAGATGGGAACAAGGGATATCAAATGTGGAGCTGGGATTATTGCAAAGATACAGTGCTGGGGGCACAGGACACAAAGCTTCGCTACTTTCTCTGCTCATGAAAAAGCTTGTTATTTTTAGTGCTTATGGCTGAATTCAAAGCAAATTGAACTCTGAGGGAGGATTTCCATTGAACTATTTTTGTGGGGATGGGACAAAATATACTTAGTTCTCATAACTGCTCCTCTCAATCTAACGAGTAATTGATGCTACTTCCTTCTCTCTCAGCTATGTACGTCTTTCACAGGAATAGTACACACACCCCATATACTGAAACACTTTTATTTCTTCAAAATAAAAGCTAATAGAGGAAAAAGATGGAGAAACAACTATGGTAAAGACTAGTAAAAAGTCTGCACTTCTGCAAAACTGCAATCCAGTTTAGATTTGGCTGATCACCTGAAAAAGAAGGCATTCGAGTCTGAATTTTAGTGAAATGCCAGCATTATGTGAAGTTGCATTTGTAGATGGATTGCCGTTTGCTTTTATGTAAGTGACTTTTTCTGTCTTAACAGAAAGTTAGCATTTAATTTCTGTGATTGAGAAATGTTTTGGATTAAGGGCTGAGATTGTCATGACATGTAAAAAGACACGTAAAAGCTTGCTACTTGCAAAGTTACATGCATATATTAGATACTATATAGCTCAATCGTAGTGAAATAATAGAGAGAAATAGGTGTTACCTGCCCTAAACTAATTATTTCCACACAGCTAAGGATTAGGCTTTATCAACATATTAGTAGGTAAGCACATTATTGCCTCTCTGCAGTGAAAAATGTTTTTATAGCAGAAATTTTCAGTTAGAGATAAAAATAAACCTAGAAAAGAATCTTAGTGAAATGCCAAGAAAATTCAGAGATAATTGCGTTTAAAGCTCATTATTGAACATAAACTAAACCAACAAGGAATACTTCTCATCACATTTATTTAATATTGCAATTTCAGGGTAACTGAAAAAATCAGAAGCCACAGAAGGGGCCCATCAGTGTAAAATGTAATAACTCTAAAGATGCTCAGCTACCTCCTCTGATGACTTCATCATTTACTGCTTTAAACATCATTGTCTTTTTTTGCCATCTAGTCAAAAACATGGGAGGTATAACTCATAGCTTAGTAGTAATAAGAGGAAAATGTATGGTAGATATTTTATGATTTTACCAAAACTTCTTTTTTTAAAAAAGAAAGTAAGAATTTCTGAAAAAATAACTGAGGAGTATTTTACTACTGAAAGATATATTTTACTCTGTCTCTTTTAAGAATAGTGTTTCCAATAACTTGCTTTAATAGGATTCCAATTACATCTGAACTTCAGAAAAAGTAACAGTTTATGGAAGACAGTGAAGAACGCAAAGTTTTGGATAAAGCCAGCTGGCTAGACATCAAAGAAAATAGATTTACTTTTCTAAGTCAGCTTCTTGCCACCCCTTCTGTATGGATTCTTGAGATCTAAAAACCTGAACTCAATTTTGTGAATTTGTGTACTGAAGACTCAATTCTTTTGCATCAGATTAGAACAGGGGACTGACTAAAATGATGAAATTTTAAAACTATTTTCAGATTCTTAATAAATAAATTAATTATTTTACTTAGCAAGAGCAGTGTTTTACCCTTCTGGGAAGGAGCAATTTGTGAGCAGTGCAGTGAAAGCCTGTTTTTCACAGGGTGACATCTTACAGTCCTCCCCCCCGACATCATAATGCCCCTTTCGATGTGGTGAACTGCTCCCAGGGTCATTAAACACCTCTCAGCTGCCCAGGTCACTGAGCTGCAGCTTCACTGGGAGGTACTGCATGCCAGGGCTTCTCCTGCACCAGGTATGAGCTGGGTGGCCTGAGGGGCACTGCTGCTCTTTGGCCAGCCAGAGGGACAGAGAAGCCATTCATCTGTTTGGCAGTGGGACTGACTGATAAAATATCTGCCTCCTGCAAGCAGCTCTAGATAGCAATTTAGTTTTCCAGTTATTAAAATTGTCTAATGGGTTAAAAAAGCTATCTGGAGATGTGGAGAATGAAAGGAAGACAAAATAAAAAAATAAATAGACACGCATGACTGCATAAGGATACAATAATTCTTACAAAATTGGTCTTAAAAATATGAGGAAGAACTCCCTAGCATCGCAAGTACTTGGAATGAGGTACCCTAGCAGAACTAACTGCTTAAGGCTGCAGAGACTAACTTGAAATAACAGCCTGAAGGAGAGGTATGTTTTGCCTAAATAGCAGGATTATGTTCTTAGTGATAAGGGCTGTGAGCTGGAGAAGGAGTATGTGAAACTACAGACACACCACGGACTGAATTCTTCAGAGTGTACAGAGAAATGCTGGGCTGCATACACATAATTGGGATCTTCTGTTCTCTGTGTTTCTGCTATTATAAATATTATTAGCAGATGGCAACTATACTGTGGGTACACGAACCATCCCTGCTGGTTCTGGCTCTCGGACAGATTCCTGAAACTGCACGTCCAAAACGCAAACACACCAGGACTGTGCATCACCAGTGTGCCCCCATGGACGGCCTGGGACCTGCAAAGAGCTGGCCAGCTTGGAGCCAGCCATGGGCTACCTCATCTCTGGGAGATCTGTGTGCAAGCAGCCACACATGGCACCAACTCTCACAGGGCTGCCACTACCTGGGCACCCCAAGGGCCCACAAGGAGTGTTTGGTCTCACCTGAACATACTCTTTGTGGTTTTATTTTACTTTTAATCATTCTCCAGCTTTATTATTAATGTTTACTTTTGAGACAGTTGTGAGCTACCTTGAAATGCTTAAGTAAAACACCTTAACTTGTTAGAGCATTATAAAACTCAAGGCTGAATTCAAGCAGGCTTGAAAAAGCCTTGACTCGTGCTGGACCGTTTCTGCAGAAGTGGATTCATAAAAGTGTTAAACCAAAAACAGGATGGGAGGGGACTTCAAAACCTCTTCTCAGTTCATCTATATCTTCGAATTTTAATTCAGTGATTTTTCTTTAGATAGCTGCTACCAATTATGTCTACAGTCCTCCCCTACTGCCTACTAATGTGGATAATTCTCGATAGTCATTACACATTTATGCTAAACATTAATCACAGTCTTTTGCTGAGATTTTTCAAGTAGCCTAGTAGATTGAGATACATAATTTCTGTTTATGTTACCAGGCATTGTGCATGAAAATCCCCCAGGGTGGCTTTGGCTATGTCAGCAAAAACCGTATTTATGATTTAATACAAATATGGAATGACTATGGAGAACTGTATAAAAATATCTTCCTTCATCTGTAATGTCCTACAGTATTTTGATTTTTAATTTGTGCTACTTAGACCAATCACTTTAATCTAGCACACTGCAAAACTCACTGCAATATAACAGTGCAGCAGAAACATGGATGAAGCTAATAAAGAAGAACCTGGTAGCAACAGCAAGTGTTATCAGTATTAGATTCCTGCAGTTAATACAGCAGCCTACATGTTAATTGTATGGCTCCGTCCTGAAGAGGCAGTCCCAAAGCACTTAGCAAATTACACTCTGAAACTGCTTCTGCCTCTGGAGCAGAAACGCTGGAGCATCCTGTGTCTTTTGAGCAGGGTCAGAATTCAGCCCTAAGGCAGTGTGTGAATGGTGCAATGAATTGAAGCTGCTTATCTCTGCAGGCCTGGACTAAAATTACTAGATCAGAAATGGGGGGCAAGGGGGTGGGGTGGGGGGAATTTACGTGATGATCTCATTTTAGTCCACAGAAGCTTTTTGACTAACTTGCAGAAAACAAGTGTCCTAGTTTCCTCTAACTGTCCTATCTGACATGTTACAGGTCACACTGATTTCTTCCTGGGACTTTGATTCAGTATTTGCTTTGGAGTCAAGAGTGAGCTAAACCGTCTGGGTTTTGGGTTGCTTGGTTGTGGGGGTTTTTGCATCCTCACCTATCTATTCTTTTGTTAGAGGAGAAACACACTTAAAAGACCCATACACCAAGCAGGTCACACTCAACTAATGCAATGTATCCCTTCTACAGGGATGACAAACAACCAAGAAGGAGTTAAGGTTATAGTCACCAAGATTTTCTCAATGTGGAAATACTTTGTCAAACTACAATAATCTAAAGACAAGTTTAAAGCAAGTCCCACCTTATCTCTTCCCTCTTAAATTCTGTCACAAAATCCTGGGACACTTTTGCCTTAGACCATGGTGAAAGAAGGACCAGGTTTTTCCAAGGTGAATAAAAAGAGTGTGCAACTCTCTGCATCCTTTGTGGAGAGCAGTCCTACTACTGTTCGTATAAACCTCTGAGGTTACAGGCTTCTGCCTACCTGCACGGGACACATGCTTGATACCAGGCTAAGCTTTGTTTACAGCATAGACAGTCACCACTCAAAGTTTGGTCTTTCTCCTAGATCCAATCTGGAACAAATCTGTTTGCTTGAAACCAGAAACTGATTTGCATCTCCATTTTGTATCTTCTTATAGCAAGGAATTGATGGGTGTGCTTGTGAATCAGCATGTTGGGAGGATTCATTTTTTTCTGGTGAAATCATAAATAATTGTTCTCCTCCACAAAGAAGAATCAACCTACATTTCCCAAGCACTTGCAAAATGCTTTTTCCAGATTCCATTGTATACCTCATATTCAGAAAGTTCTTAATATCTTTGGGTATAGGAAAAACATATAAACAGAGGGTTTCTGACTTTATTTTTCATTTTCTGAGACCTACGGTCAGAGCATCTCTTTCATACAGTTTTCAGAATATCACCGTCAGGAAAGCATCCAAAGCAAAAATAAGGAAATGGGATTCCTTGTTATATGCTTCAGGGAAACATGATTTCTAATTATTCTAACAAGTTTCAAACTCAGACGTCCTTCTTAGCAGTCACTATCTTACGTCACTCAGGAGGAAAGCTTGTACCAGCCTGATGTAACGTGTATCAAGTCTCACTGTTGCAGTTTCTGGGTTTTTTTTGCATTACTGCCTATAACCAGCACCCATCAGGTGAGAGGGAAGGTCCCGACACCACAGACATAGGGGCAGAGGGCACCAGAGCCCCTGGCTGTGCTAAACCCAGGTCAGAGCACTCAGCAGCTGTAGGCCTGGTCTGAGCTCCCTGTGCCCCACAAGCCATTCCCTACGCCACCACAGCAGGCCTAAAGAACTGATACAAGAGAGCAAATTTGAACAGGAGAGCAAATGACTCCCTTCCCCCTGACACCAGCCCCTTCAGATGAAATGCAAAGCCCGCTTGTTTTGCTCAGCTGCTCCGTACCACACGGAGCCCAGGTTTCTCATTTCCTTAAAAAAGCCACAGCAGAAATTCAAATGCAACTAGCAACTCACCCAAAGTGGCTGGCTAAACTCATGGAAACGCAGAAGAGGAAGAAGTTTTTGATCATGATAAAGTCAGAGACCATCCCATTGTCCATTCCAGAGGAGAAGAGGAACGCAGGTGGTTGCTTTGGTGAAGGTGCAGCTGTTCACTTTGTTCTTACACTGCAACAATACAAAAAAATGATAAATTATTGCATGGACAGAGAGCAGGATAGCGGAGTTCAGCTAACACCGCATCTTTTGCTATCTGCGTTTTTCACAAACTTATCTAGGCTTATGTAAACATCAGCTGTTTATGTAAAATTGTGTATCTTCAAGGACATGTTTTACCTTCTGCTGTCAGCAAACTGCAAAACAGGAAAAATTCTTTGTGGCCCAGCTTTTCCCTATATTCTTCTGTGGTATAAGTAACTAAAAAAAATAGCCACCATTTTCCAAATGCCAATTTCAACCCTTTACCTATTTCAACAACTTCCACATGCCTGCAAACCCAGGGCTGTGTGCAGCCTCCGCATCCTTTCCTTCCATCGCAATTTTTTCCCATTAAATACCCGGCTTCCCTTTCCAAAATCCCAGTTGAAATGCCAAGAAACACCTACTGCTTCTTGGAATTCATGCTGCTGATGCACGGCTTAGCAAAAGGAGGGTGGGTTGTTGGGGGGGGAAGAGGGTAAAAAGTGACCTTCCTCGCAAAGGCACATAAACCTCACGCTAGCACGAAGAACGACAGTAATGTAGCTGCTCCAGCGACTGCTGCTTTTTGGATACCTGCCTCAGCGACCAGATCACCAATTTCAGCATTGTGCACTAACGTTTTCCTCTGTGCCCTATTAAAAACAAACAAAAAACCAAAACCACAACAAAACCCCCCAAAAGCCAACGAAACAAAAAACAAACAAACCACCCCGAACCCAACAAAAACCCCAAAACAACCCCCAAAAACACACCCAGAGGGGAATTGCCTGGATTTTCACCTGAACCCTGTGCCCCCGTGCTACATCGCTCAGCAACTTGTTCTCCCACCCCGCCGGCGCCGCAAGGCAAAACGCCCGAACCAAAAGCCGCCCCCCGGGGCTCCCCCGCCCGGCCCGCGCTGCCCCGCTCCGGGTCCCGCTCGCTCCGCACCGGGCACTGCGGGGCCGTCGCTCCCCTCCGCAGCCCCGGCCCGCCCGCACCTGTCCGGCGACCGTCGCTCACCCGCCGCCGCCGCCCGCACACTGCGCCCGGGGCGTCGCGCTCCGCTCTGCTCCGCGGAGGGTGGCACCTGCCCGCCCGTGCCCGCTCCGCTGCTCCTTCCCGTGTCCCCTCCCCAGTCCCCAGGGCACCCCGGGATTGCCCCCGCCCCGCCCGCCGGCCGAAGTTTGCCGCGGCCATGTGCGCGGCGCGGCGGTGCCCGCCCGGGGGGCTGCAGCCGGGGTTCCCCGCCGCCCTCCGCCCGCCCGGCCGGGCGCGGGAGCCCGGCGCTTACCAGCCTCAGGCAGGGGGACGGGGACGAGGACGAGGGGGCAGCGTTTGCCCGAAAGTTGCGGAGCGGCGGCAGGAGCGGAGCGGCAGCGGCGGCGCTGCCTCCCGGCCGCTGGCAGGCGCGGCCCCGCCGCAGCGCCGCGCCCGCGCCGCCCCCGCGCCGAGCCCGCGGCCGGGAGCGCGGGGAGGTGTGCGGGGCGCGCCCGACCCTCGGGCACCCCGGCGGGGACCTCCCGCCAAGGGGCCGAGCCCGGACCCGTCGCAGCCCCGGGAGGCTTCGGTGGCTCCCCGAGCTCCCCGCACTGGTCTCCCGCGGGCAGCCCCCACCGAGCGCCCCCGGGCAGGGTCCCGGGCGAGCCCGGCCGGCACCGACTGTCCTCGGGGAGAGGGAGCCCCCGACACAGCCCGGGCGTGCAGGTGTCGTGTGACCGCGGGGCAGGGGCACCCAGCGCAGCCGAGGCTTGCCGGTGTGTAGGCTCGTTGCACCACACGTGTATTAGCGTACATATGTATACACACACCTCTAGATAGCCAGATCTTACCTATACTCCTCTTCCAGTGGATCTGACCTAAACCATCATAGTTCTTAAATGCTGACGTGGTAGGCTTATAGCCACGGCGTAAACTCTCTTTTTTACATCCTCACTAAACCCGTAGTTCATATATCAGTGTTGTGTTCAATTCACTCATATTCCTCCAGACCTGCAATAACTTCGAGGTTTCCTTGTGATTGCGTGTGATGCTATTCCTGAAAAATGGATGCATTGTTTCACAGCTTCAAGGATAGGAGCATTACACTCGCTACATGTTCCAGTCACATATATGAAGTACTGCATGCAGGTGCATTTTGAACTACGTGAAAGATGGAATGAGTGTTGTATAGTCCCAGTTCCTGGAGATTCTTTGAGATGAATGCAACGTTTTGCAGCATGCGCATCTTACATGTGATAATATATGATGATTTCACTATATACTGCTGTGACTGTATTTCAAAGTAACATACCAAACTCAGCTATTAAATTATCAGATCTAATGAGGTAGTGTATGTCTTCCAGGCAACGTTAGGGATCAATGAAGCACTTGGTTTTTTTTCCTATATCCACATAAAAGCTCTATGGAATGAATCCCTCCACTGAAATCAATATTGGTTCTGTAGCTCGTTGCCACAGAGGGTGCTGCTCTATGTGTGCCTAGTTCACAGTCTGCCCTGCCTGAGTTGAAAACTGGTCCTTAGAAATTTCAGTTTATATGTTTTTCCCCACCTAACAAAGCCAGAAATGTTGCCCCAGGGAGAATTTTCTATGTAAACAATGAATCATTTTCCTAGTATCGATCGAGTAAGATTTTTTCGGGCAGTTCTTTGTAATTCCTCTCTTCAGCATTCCCTTGAGACTCATCAAGGATTGGATTAGATGATTTTTAAAGGTCCCTTTCAACCCAAACCAGTCTATGGTTCAATAGCTCTATATCTGGTGCTTGGCTGTGCGAGCTTTACAGCAATGATTTATGATCTTGAATGCAGAGCCAATGACATACGTTGTTCCTCGTTGTTCCTTAGTGACTTCAATAAATATGAAGTTGTGAATGAATGTTGCTATCAGAACAGCTTTCCCAGTGCTTAAAAATATCTGAGTTAAGTAGTATGAAGTGCCAGTAGTTTCTCATGATAATGTTCTTGCCTAGGAGTGTTTAAATCACATTTTTTTACAGCGCTTTGATTTATAGTACAAACTATTTATATCTCTATATAGGTGATGTTGTAAAAATACGCGATCTTTAAATAATTTTACAAAAGAGATATGCCGGAATATTGGCCTAGGCTTTAACGCAAGCGGGTGAGAGCTTCGGCCTCTCGCTCCAGCTCCCTGGCGAGCAGAGCCGAGTCTCGGTTCCTCTGACTCCCTACATCTTCTCTGCGAAGCCATATGCTGCAGATCCGCTTCTCAACACCAAAGGGAGAAAGCGTTTAGGAACTGGGGGAGCAGAATAGCAAGAAAATGTTTAAGGAAAGCTTAAAGAAAAAGAAAAGATAAATGGTACAGAACAGTTTGGGTCGGAAAGGCATCTTAGCGATCACCTACTTCCACCCCCTGCCGCGGGCAAAGACCCCGCAAAAGCGCCTTACTGGGCGAAACAGCGAGCAGAGAGACGCCGGTGTCCCGCACGGCCGCTCCGCTCCGAGCCGCCGCTGTCCCCGCCGTGTGGCGGTGGGCGGGCGGGCGCGGCGGGCCGGGGCTGCTGCGGGGGCCGCGGCCGGCAGAGGGCAGCACAGCTCCACGCAAGCGGCGGCGGCCATCCGCGCCGGGCACCGCTCGCTGCTGGGGCACCAACCGGGCTGCTCCGACGCTGACTGCACAGCCTGGCGGGCTGGAACCCGGCACCACAGCGGCTTTGGACTGTGCTCGCAGTTATTGCCAGCAATAGAGAGGCCGCTGCTGTGAGGCCAGCGGTACCGCGCGTCTTCCGCGGTGTGTTTCTTCAGGCACTCCCTTGTGGTTCACACCCTGTTTGCATCCTCAGCTTCCTTGTCACGTTTTAAAGGATACCTGGAATTTAGTATGTGAATCAAATGTTTTCTGTTAGGGTCAGGGAATGTTTTGTTTGGTTGATTGTTCTCTGTGCTGATGTGTAGCAAAATACTAACATGACCATTCTGTACAGTGATTTTCTTTCAAATTTGGGTGAAGTTTGCACGGTCCCTCTGACAGTTCTCCTCCCTGTTTCACTAAGTAATGTTGCTTATTTGCAGAGATGAATGCATTTGAGGTCGATCATCCTCTACATGGGACTGAAACAATAGTGCAGGCAAATTGGGTTGTGATTTTACCATGGCACATGCTTGGGAGCTTACTGGGAAACACACACCTACCTCTCACTGTTAGAAAATGGCCTGTTTTGACAGTAGCCAGAGGTACCTCTGTAACTGATCAAGTCATTCCTTCGCAGGAGAGTTACAGAGAACTCGTGAAGTTGTGTGGAGGTGTGACATGCTGTGGGAATTGGTGCGAGTAGGCTCTTCAGAGGCATTCTCCTCTACCAAAACAATTCAATTCAATCATCTAGGTAGCGAGGACTGCCTGTTCTCTTGAAATCTTTTGCCTTTGGCCTCTTAGCTAAGATTCCATAAAAGGCAGAGCTTGGAACAGTGACTTTAGTGATAGAAATCCTTTTCCAATAGAGAGCAGTCTGAATTCATCAGTCATTGAAGGAACCCCTAATCATCCGCCAATACAGACTCAGCTACTCTCAGTGCAGAGACTGGATTTGAGCAAAGGGTGAAAGGCTTGTTTTCACTCCCTTATTTTCTAGTGTCTGTAAAGACTGGAGTCATGACTCTATTGAGCCTGGGTGAGACACACCCAGAGTTCACCAGTATGCAAGAGGCATGCACGTGGTGGAAAAAGTCGAGCAAAGGACCAAGAAGAAGGACTGTCTGTCCTATGAAGGTGAGGCAGAGAGAGCTGGGATTGTCCAGACAGGAGAAGAAAAGGCTAAGAGTGGTACTTATCCAAGGATATAAACACCTGAGGGCAGGGGCCTGAAGCAGAGGGAGACAGACTTTGCTTCGTGTACTGACTGACAGTAAGTCCTATGAGGAGGGAGCTGTGGTTGCTTAGCCTGGAGAAAAGGAGGCTGAAGGGAGACCTTATTGCTCTCTACAGCTACCTGAAAGGAGGTTGTAGCCAGGAATCAGCCTTTTCTCCCTAGCAACCAACCAAAGGATGAGAGGAAATTGATTCAAGCTGCAGGAGGAAATGTTCAGGTTGGACATCAGGAAGAACTTCTTCGCAGAAAGAGTTGTTAAGTATTGGAATGAGCTTCTCAGGGAAGTGGTGGAGTCACTATCCCTGGAGGTGTTCAAGAAACAACTGGATGTGGCATTTAGTTGAAATGCCATGGTTTAGTTGAAAAGGTGGTGATCAGTCAAAGGCTGGACTTGATGATCTTGGAGGTCTTTTCAAACTCAAAGGATTCTGTGACAGGAAAAGTTACAGCAGTCACAAATTAAAAGACATGACATTCCATCTGAATACAAGAAGACATGTTTTACTTTGGGGGTGCTCAAAC